GCTCATTCTCATTGTAGGTATAAATAACAGACAGTTCATCCATAGCCAATTGAATAACATTCCATAGGAAATATAAGTAACAACGTAACACCAAAAATTAATATAAAGTTTAGGGAAGAACACCACCAATTTTTCAAAATTTTGTAAAGTCAAATTTTCTATACACATTGAATATTTTTAGTCAAGTTCAAGATATACTCACTACAAATCAATAAACTGAAATTCGCAATCAGATACTCACAAACCTAAAATGCATAACAGAATAAAAACTAAAAAAGAAAATAAAAAACTTAAAATCTCAACCTGTAAATTGCTCGTCTTTATCCAACTGTTTTGCCGCCAAATTGATGACTGCAACAGATTTCGTCGATTCTAACACAGTACTGTTATCACTAAAAACTCAACAAAACCATCAGATATCAAAAATCGAAAAATACCCATCAAAAAACTACTAAGATTTTCCAAACCCCTTACCGTAAAACCCCAAATCAGCAATCAGAAACCGATTAACACTTTTTACTTATAGGAAATCGATTAATCAGCAATAGACAAATATTTAACTATCTAAGTATAAGAGAACAGAAGATTCTAGTTCTAGAGAGAGAAAGAGAATTTACCAATGCAGAAAAACAGGTAAGTTGGGGTTTCTGAGTTGGAGCGGAACGAGAAAATATATAGGGAGCTGTGACTCTTTGAATTGAATTGAATATGGATTAGAAAATTAGGATTTAAAGTATATGCATCAATGAAATTAATAAGTTTTCGCTATTAAAGATTGCTTCTCATTTTTTAAAGATTAGTCTTAGGGTTCATATTAGTAAATATAAAATTTTAAAACTATATAAATATTATTAAATTATGTATAGCTGACGTGAAATTGTTAAATATTTTTTCGAGAGTATTTCTAGAATTTGATGGTGAGTTAATGCATATAATAATTATGAAGGAATAAATGATTAAAGAGTAATAGACATATTATTGTGTATCCAAATAATCAAATATAATTTTTCACAAATTTTTTGTATAAATTTTCTTAGAAAGTTATTCGAATAGAATACTAAAACCAAACTAATTATATAGCTTAAGTTTTATACCTTTTTGTTAATATGAAGTTTTTTATTGTTTTAATATTGTTACCTTCAAACTTAAAGCTAAATGAGCTAGAAGCGATTATTAACAAAAACCCATCTTAAATCTAAAAGTAGTATAAGTGATCGAAACTGATAATGCTTGAAATTTAATACTCCAAAATTTAAACGGAGTTAAAAATAAGGACTTCTAAAACTAAAAGGAATTGAGAAATCAAAATCCTAAAAAGTAGAAAATAATTAAATCACTAATCCTAAATATTAGATAAATAACTAAATAATTATTTTTAAATATTTGAAAAATAACTAATGACTATTTTGTCCAATATGAACTCTATTTTTAAAGGCTAAAATGGCGAACAATATTTCGTTAATGACCTTCGTACTTAAGGTATGTACTTTGCGCGTGTACCCATATTAATAAATATATGATTTTGAAAAATACTAAAATATTATTAACTAACATATTTATGTTATGAAATAAAAATTTAAAAAATATTTCAGATCTTGAAATGATGAGTATTGATATCATTAAGCTAGGCGAGAAGATAAAATTAATAAAAATCTTTTTTTTCAATAAAATATTAAATTACATTTAGTTCTTAAAATATAACGTTAATAAAAGAGAAAAATATATTTTCAAGATAGAATTAAATTGTTTTCAACTCCAAAATTTCATAACATAAATAAAAACTTTTATTATTATCGTTATTTTAGAATAGGAAAGTTTATTTTCAAGAATCCTCAGACTTTAGACTTAGGAAGTGCTTAAATCTTTATTCGATAGGAAAACATCGGGAACACTTTGAATAACTAACTGCTGCTTCTATTTTTCTTTTTTAATGCCATTATAATTTTGCATACTTGAAGGAGATGTGTGAAAAATTATATCTCAATTTAAAATTTAAATGTACGTATAAGTTATATGTTACCTAGTTCAAATTAAAAAGGGATTTACACAGGTAAAAAGTTTAGTCGATCAAATAAAACAAGTTTAATAACTAAAGTCTTAGTAAATTTTAAAATTCTAAATATTAAGATAATAATTAAATTACATATTCCTCATTTAGCTTTACTTTTAGAAGAATCAACAGTCATACCTCTTTTCTTCAAATATTGTAATAGTTGTTCAATGTTTTTCTTTTATGGCTTTGAATCCAAGTCTAATGGTTTTGGTGAATTTTGAGTTTCTAAAAGTATTTCAACGTAATGTAGTTCATATATTTTGTCCTAAATTAGAACTTTAATTTATACAAGGAAGAAATTTAGTTGATTTTAATGTCTTAAATATTAGGGTTTCCTATATAATAATTCAAATATGGAAAGTTTTAATAAATAAAGTTTTATTTTATTTCAAAGTCCTAGATATTAGGAAAAATAGGTAAATGACAATTTTGTCTAGCATGAAATCCTTTTTTAAAGGGCAAAAAAGACGAACGACATTTCGCTAAGGGCCTTGGTGCGTTTAATATAGTATAAATATAGATTATTAATTCATATTTGTACAGAAAATTATTTACTTACTTAAGTAATTTGATGGTGTAAAAATTTATCTCAATTGATTATTGCCTTGTGGGAAAGCTTAGACTAAAATAATTATAATTAAAAAATTACCAAAATAGGATTCAAAATTTCTGGTACTCTTTTAATTTTTTTTTTTTTTTTTTTTTTTTTTTTTTGCAAATATACTCTTTTTCACGATTTGATTGATTCGAAAGTCATACATAACCAGTTTGATTGATCTTTTAGGTGGAATTAATTTTCGAAAAAGTGTTGAAATTTTTCTCGAAGAACTACTTCACATTTTTCGGGGGGAAAAATTAGCTAATAGAGTACTTATTTCAATTTCTGTAAAAACTTAAATTTTTCTATAATGATATTTGATTGGGAAAGGATGCACCGTTTTAAAGAAAAAGTAAGTTTAAGATAGAAACTAACGATAGGATAAAGATCAAAATAGTTTATTCCTAACTCGCGAAACAATAAAAGATTATCATAAATTTTAAAATATTGATTTATTTTATTACTATGTGTTAATTGAGGAATACATGCAAGTACTATTTACTTTTACCTTATCAAGAGGAATACTATTTACTTGATTTTTTTTAATCTTAGATGATTATTGAAGGAAAAAATTAAATGAGGGAAAAGGTGGAAAAAAAAAAAGAAATACAAAATTGTAGGGAAGTAGCAGTTATACGGAAGATTGACAAGTGGCGTTGGCGTAGTGGATAAGTTATGGGTCATGGCCAAGTGGGCGGAGTATGTGGTTACACCTTAGAAATTTTCAGTAACTGTTTTTTTTTTTCTTTTTTCTATTTACACGCATGACAATTGACATAATTTGAGGTTCTAGAATCCGAAATTTTCAAATAAATATGTACTCCTTTCGTTTTATTTTAAATAGACTTTTGAAGCTTGTATATTCTTAAAATATGTTGTAATATTTGTATGCTTATAAAACTATGTTATTAAAATTATATTAAAAAAATAAAATAAAATAATTTTCAAATGTAAAAAATTATCATTCTTTCTTGAAATTTTAAAATGGTATAGTGAATAGTATCAAAAATAAAAGAGTGCGAGGTTAATTTGAATTTTTTCTCTTATATTTATTTTTTTAGGAGTACAATTTGAATGCTTTGTTATGTACTTGTTCCTTGAAAGTCATCACTATTTCTTACTACATGGTTTCTCATGTTTTTTTTGGGTACAAATAAAATGTTTTCTTTTGTACTTCTCTCTTTGTAAGTCATTATTACTATTTCGTACATGCTTTCTCTTATTTTGTTTTTTTCCTTTTTTACGCTGCAATCTAAATTCTTTCTTTGTAAGTCATCACCATTTCGTACTTTACATGACATAATTTAGAGTGAAAATCATTTTTTCCCTTCAAATTTGATCTAAAATCTTCCTCCGCCGTTCACCATACTTTTTCGGGCTGGCCAATTGACAAATATTCTGACACAAGCAACGAAGCTTCTTTTTCTCTTCAAAGTCCCAACCCGATTTGTCACCCATGACATCTTTACTCTCTTTCTCATGTTCGTTATTCCTTGTCCGTCCCTTCCACGAAATTTTTGTTTACGGAAAAAATAGTATAGTTGAATTTGTAATTTAATTTATAGATATACGGATTAAATTGATCTGATAAAATAAAATAATGAATAACAGAAGCAAATAAAATAAGAATACAAGTCTGAGCTTTATAATGTTCCCACCGGGATCAATTATACTTGGAAAACCTCAAGCACACTTGTATAAAGCTTAAAAGAATGAGACAAAGAATACTAGTCTTTTGCTATCAATATTTCTTTTCACTGCAATAGAATAAAAGCCTCTATTTATACTAGAGCTATGAGAGTATGGTCTACCAATTATGCCCAATTAATCACCGATATTAATGCTACAATAAAAGGTAATAAAAATGTGATAAAGAATAATAAAGGGTAATAAAGCTTAACAAACGATAATAAAGACGGAAGGAATCTTGGGGTCTTTTGTAGCGTTTCTGTAACAGTCATATCTTGAATTGTTTCTTATTCGGCTACAAGTTTGTATCCGGTGTCAATATCTTATCCAGCCACAGATTTGTGTCCGATGTGAACATGGTTGAATCACTATTAATTGACACGCGTTATTTTCTAATTCACCTGTCTTCTGAGATCCGTTTTTACTGTATACAACTTTAGCATATGCAGCACAAAATCTTTTTTTTTTTTTGATAAACAGATTACTTTCATTCCATCAAAAAATTTACATTACATTCAGTAGATGCTGACCATCTACTCATTCTATGATCTAAACAAACTAGTCTGCGGCTACATCTCATACTAGATGATACAAAATATTTCTTCACTCCTAAGCTAAAACTCTTGACAATACAGAGAAACCTTAACAGACTTCAACTTCCTAAGGGTAAGAATTTAAACTCAACAAGGCTTCCTTCCAGTCGTGAATTGAGGTCCCCTTCATGTGTATGTGGATGGCTATTTCTTTGCATATGTTGTTGCTGAGCAGTCTCCCTCCTTGAAATCTTTGCTTATTTCTTTCCCTCCATATAGCATTCACCAGCATCCCAAACACACAGGTGGTTATTGCTGCTAGTCCATTCCTCCTCTTTGCATTCTTGCTTACCCATTCAACCTCATGCTGCCAGTCATATATGGGTCTATGATATCCCAGCCATCTTAGTAGTCTATTCCATAGTGCCTTTGTCAGCGAGCATTCAAAGAAAAGGTGATCAAAGGTCTCAATAGCTAGCCCGCAGAATATACATTGCTGTGGAACTTGTATGCCAAATTTCAGAAGCCTATCCACTGTTGCCAATCTGCTATGTAATGCAAGCCATAGTATGAACTTGTATCTTGGATGTATATGTGCCTGCAACATAATGCTCTTCCATTGAACTTTTTGGTAGTGAGGGTATTGAAGCCTGTATAGTTTTTTAATGCTGAATAGTTCACCCCTCTGTAGCTGGATCAGTCTGCTCTCCAGGTTGCCTTGAATGCCTTGAAGTTCGTTTATCATCTTCCTTAACTCAACGATCTTCCTAACTACCCAGGCTGCATTTCTAGGAGTAGGCATGTCTTCAATGCTATGATTCTTTATGTAATAGATGTGCAACCATTTAATCCATAAGCTGTCTTTCTTCTTTGCCACTGCCCATAGGTGCTTAGCAATAGTAGCCTTGTTCCAAACTAGTAAGTTCATTACATTGAGACATCCTGCACTATATGGCAAGCAAATTGTTTCCCAAGAAACCAAAGCTTTTCTTGACACAGTAGCTGAGCCAGTCCACAGGTGGTCTGCATATTGCCTCTATCATCCTCATCACTTTCTTTGGCAATAATAAAATTTGAGACCAATAGGATTGCACTCTAAATAATACAGATTTTATCAATTGAAGGCGCCCTGCATATGATAGCAATCTTGATGTCCAGCAGTTTATTTTCTGAGTTACTTTCTCTACTAGTGGTCAGCACTGAGCAATGATTAATTTTTTGGAGTCCAAAGGTACCCCTAGGTATTTGAAAGGAAGCATACCTTCAGGGAAACCCAACTCTTGCAGAATTTCCTCTCTATGCCAATTTGACACTCCAGCTATATAGACAGCACTCTTTTCAGCATTTGCTTGAAGACCAGATGCTTTTGAGAACTTCTGGAATGTCTGTTTTAGTAGTCTAACAGACTGAATATCAGCTTTGCAAAACATTAGCAGGTCATCTGCAAAACATACATGTACCACTCCCAATTTCTTGCACCTAGGATGGAATTTGAAATCGTTCCTCTTCATCATTTGCATGAACTCCCTTTGCAAATACTCCATGGCCAGGACAAAAATGTAGGGAGACATTGGATCTCCTTGCCTTATGCCTTTTTGCCTTTAAAAGGAACTGTGAGACCACCATTTATGTTGAGTGAATAAGTAACTGATGAAATGCGCTACATTACCCATCCTATGAATTTATAAGGAAACCCCATATCCTTAAACAGTCTTTCTAAGAAACACCATTCCACTGTGTCATAGGCTTTCTTTAAATCTACTTTGAGGACACATCTTGGAGAAATGCCCTTCCTGTTATAACCTTTGAACAATTCATGTGTGAACAAGATGTTATCTGTGATGCTGCGACCCTCAATGAAAGCTGACTGTGATCTCCCAATTAGATTTCCAATGACTGCTTTTAATCTTGCTGTAAGGACCTTTGTGATAATTTTATATAGAGTTGTACAGCATGCTATGGGCCTATAGTCCTTCACTTGACTAGGATTTTGCACTTTAGGGATCAGAGTTACAGCTGTACTACTGACTCCTTTATGCAACCTCCCAGTCACAAAGAATTCATTCACAGCTTCATATATGTCATCACCAACAACTTGCCAATGTCTTGTGAAAAACTCTATTGGGAAACCATCAACTCCTGGAGCCTTATCATGGGGCATATCCTAATTGCTTGAAGTATTTCTTCTCTTGTAACTGGTTTGACTAGGTCTTCTTTCTGCTGCAAATTAAGACAAGGACCTTGATGTATAACCTCAGAGTTTGGGCATTGACATGTAGTGTTGCTTTCCCCCAATATCTTCCTGAAGTACTTTGTAAACTCTTCTTCCACTAGAATAGGGTCACACAACCTGTCTCCCAAATCAGTGTATATAGAGTTTATAGTGTTGATATTTGTCCTCATCTTCAGTTGTGCATGGAAATACTTAGAGTTTGAGTCTCCACAAGTGATCCACTGTGCTCTAGATTTCTGGTATAGGATCTGCTCCTCTATGTTGCTCCATTTCTCAACTTCCATCAAAACTATTTTCTCTTGATCAATCAAGTCTTGATCCATGTAATTGAGCCTTAATTCATTTTGAATGACTTCAAGTTTCTGTCTAGCCTTATTGAGGTGGATCCTATAAGATGCCATATAGGTATTCAACTCCTTCAATTCCAATCTCAAGGCTTTGAGCTTACTCCATACCCTGTGCATATTGTCACCATTTAACCTTTGATTCCATACCCTTTCCACTATGCCTGCAAAGTCAGCATGCTCCATCACAGAGTTATACAATTTTAATGGTTTAGGGTGCAGGTTCCTTCTTTGATCCACAGCCTTGCACTGCAATAGAATAGGGGAGTGGTCTGATACTTCAGGATTTAAAAAATCTGCTTCAATGTGGCTATATTTCTGCATCCATTCCACATTCCCTAGTGCCTAATCAATTCTGCTATAGACTCTTTTCTCTGGTTGTTGTTTGTTGCACCATGTGTAAAACCATCCCAAACTTTTCACCTGAGTGAGCTGCAAGGTAATTAGTGCATCCTGGAACCCCTTTATTTCATTGTGAGTGACTGGAGCCCCTATCTTGTCATCTGTGTGGAGAACATTATTGAAATCTCCACTGAGAAGCCAACTCTCCTGTATAGTGCTGCCTAAATTCACCCGTTTGTCCCATAGCTGCTACCTCTTATTCACCTCATTACTTGCATACACCACTGTTACCAAAGTCTTGAAAGTAGTGCTTCTTTCTTGGACTTCACAATGTATAAATTGTTCATCAAGCATCAGAATCTGCACCTCAATATTTGATCTCCACATTAGCCAAATTCTTCCATTTGGATGCTCCTTATAGTTCCAGAAACACCTCCAGTCACTACATACTTTGTGCACAATTCTTTTTGCCTTCAATTCCTTTACTCTTGTTTCTAAACAGCCAATAAAATTAATTTTATGTTTTCTCAGAAAGAGTTTTAACTCCTTCTGCTTATAGGCCTTGTTAAGGCCCCTTATATTCCAAGTGCAAAGATTCATTTGGGGGTGAAGCTGGAAGGGCCAGCGTCCCCTGGATATTCTACTGTCTGCAACAAAGAGAACCTGTTAGTGGTATTCATCATAACAACTGTACTTTGTTGTACACTTTTCCCTTTCGTTTTCCCATTGTCTACAGCCCTGCCATCTGCATTGTCAGTTGTTTGTTGAATGTCCCCTGCATTCCTTGCTTGTTGGATTACATCATCCTTCCCCTTAGCTTTTGGCATCCATTTCAAGGTCCTTTTGTGTAGTAGTTTCTTTTCCCCGGTTCCCTTTGGTTGAGCCTTGACTGCCTTTGCCTTTTCCTGCACTTCCTTGTGCCAACATTCATCTGAGTTATGCCCAAATCTAATACATTCACAACAATACTTTGGCTTCCATTCATATTCAATTTGTTGAGTTATGACTCCCCTCTTAGTTTGTAATTCAAAGCTATCTGGTAATGGTTGGGATATATCTGTTTCCACTAGCACTCTTGCATAGGATACCTTTTCCATTTCAGCAGTAATCTTATCAGTATACATGGGCTTCCCAACCACACTAGCCAGTTTACTAAGAGCTTCAGTTGACCAATATCCCAAGGGAAGTCCTGGGAAAGTGATCCACAGAGGAATTACACTCACACTACCTGGATCAAATCTGAAATCCATTCTCCATTTTTGCAGCACAAATGGTTTGTTGTGAAATGTGTATGGACCAGCCTGTAGGACTAGGTCCCTATCCTCCATATTTTCAAACCTGAAGATATAGTAACCTTCCTCATGATATAGAACTTGAGGTTTTTCAACAAAATTCCAAACGTTTGTAATATAGTTATCCATTGCTTTCTCATAAGGATCTTCACCAAGCACAAATCCCACCAGAGCTGTGCTCCAGTATGCTTCCTGGTCATTTGTATCCTCATCCTCGATTTGCACGACAAAGGTACCATCCCTCATAGCAGGCGGTACTTAACATAGTGGTTTCCCCTTTTGAGAGCTTCGATTCTTCTGCATGGCTGCCCTTTTCCTCTCAACTTCCTTTGGATCTGCCATATCCTGCCGGATCTGCCCTGAATTTTCTTGTGCTGAGAATTGCAGTCGCCGATGGACCTGTGATACTACCGTGTTTTCCTTCATCAGATTTTGTTCGTCATCTTCCTCACTTTCTTCCCTAATTGGCTGAAATTTTTGTGGCAAAAAGCTACCAAAAGTTACCGGGTGCAATCACTGTTGAATTTATGTATCCGACGTCACTATCGTTCCGTTGATTCCATCATCCTTAGCTGGTTTGTGAAAAACTGTAGGTGCCGAGCCCATTCCTGTTAACCAGCGAGTAGACTGGTTGAGTGCAGGTATTTCCTCCTTACTATCATCTTCATTTGCTTCCGTTGTCACTGGAAGCTTCTTCTTGTGTCTAGCCATGGCTGAAGCGCAGGTTAGCTAACCTTGCTTAACATGCGCCTGCAGAGCTTAAACACGAAGGATGCTTTAATAGAACAAAATACTCCTTTTTTTAAAATTTCTCATTCAGTGTGCAAAATCTATTTTCGAAGTTTCACTATGGGATTCAAGGGATTCCTACCAAAGGCAACTCTATTCTCAAAACTCGAAATAAATACCTTTAGTTAAAGATATAGTAATATTTATTACTTCACCGCAACTTTTGACGGTGATAGAGCCAAATACTCCAAAACTATACTAGAACCAATTTGGAAAAATGTTCAGAATGCGTAGCAAGTAGCAGGAACTTGCACAGATTAAAGATATTTTTATTTCTTAACTCTTCAGGAAAATTATGTCTTGAAGAGAAGTGTCAAAAATGAAAAACTTAAGAGCCTGTTTGGAAAGCCATCTTGGAAATGGATTTGGGTGTAATTACACAGTTTGGCATGTTTGTTTGGCCAAGTAATTACTTGGTCAGCATGGAATTAGGTGTAATTGGAGGGGTGTAATTACACTCTCCAATTCTCAAGGGGGAGGTGAGAATTGGTGGTAATTACACTCTGTAATTACAACGTTGCTTTTTAGTTTCTTTTCTTTTTGTTTTTATTTTAATTTATTTCCTTTATAACTTTTTATTTCTATTATTTTTATTTTAATTTTACTTTTTAATTTCTTTTAAAAATTTAAAATATATTTTTATTTGTACATTGTTTATCTTTTATTTCTCTACCTTTACTTCTTGTGATTCCATGTAATTGTTTATATTTTATTTTTTATTTATTTTATTATTCTACTTTTTGAAACCACACCTCATAATATTAGAAATAATGAATCATTAACAAACTTGACATATAATGAGTAATGCAAAAGAGGAGTTTTATTATTGAATGCGGTTATAAACTTATTATGTTTCTTAATCTTAAGTTGTAGTAGAATTTACTATTATTATGTTTGTTAATTTTATTTTATTTTGAATTTTAAAATTATGTTATATTCATGGTTCCAATTTACTTGTTTTAATAGTATTGGCTCACATTGCATGTTGTTCATTTTTTAGTTAGAATTAATAGATTAGTTTTGTCAAACATTTGAATGATATTATGATATTATATTTATAAATTTATTAATTTATTTTATCAAACATGAATTCTATGATGTTCTTACAAAATGTATATTTTTAGTTTTTGTAAATATCTAAATTAAATATTATTAATTTAAAAATATATATATAAATTATTTTTACAATATTAGTTATAAATATATGATTACTAATTAATGTATATTCACGAAAAAATATACATTTAAATACCAAATATAATATCATTTATACTTATAAAAATTTAAAGGCATATATTTATTATATTAGCTTCTAAGTTTTGATAATTGTTTCATTTAAAATTTAATTTAATTGTGTGATTACACTTGTGCAACCATACAGTAAATTTGTAATTACACTGTAATTACACTATGACAAATAAACTTGTCATCGTAATTACATAACTGTGTAATTACTAGGCTGTGTAATTACTACCCTAGTAATTACACCAATTCCAATTACCTGGTGGCTTTCCAAACAGACCCTAAGTGGTAAGTTCCGAAACTTGAATTTTTGAGTTAACTTTTCAAACTTGTGTGACTACTGTATCTACATTAGGAAACGCTGTCTCTAAGAAGTATCGAATTCTTGAATCTTATTTATTACTTGTGCAAGCTAAATATTTTATTTTCACTTGCTTAATTATCTAGGAAATTGAATATTTATAGAGGAAGCTTAATATATCTTACTGATACAGAAAATGCCATGTTTTAACTTTGCAAGCTCTGAGATCTGCCCAGTTAGCCCTATTTAATATGTAAATATCGGGTCACACACACAAGAACTTTTTTAAAAAAACACAGATAAATTTGAGAATAATAGACCCATGTTCATTAAACAGCTTCTGTAGATGTCCTTGTATTGCAAGATGGCTTTTGAAAATGTGCCATGGGGATATGGGTGTCGATGGATATCTAAAAACCGACTAACCGAACCGAACCGTACCGAACCGACTTTTAGGTTTCTTTTAATAAAATCGTAGGTTTTTATATAAATATTTAATCGCACCGATAATTAGGGTATGTTTTTTATTTTATGAAAATAAACCGAAAAAATACTGAACCATACCGAATAAATTTATATGTGAAAATATATTTATATATTAAGTTTAAAGATAACAAAAGCATTAAATTTTTCCTTCGCCTTGGAATAATGAAAAAGGTTACAAGTCAACAAGTAACTAAACTCAAAATCTCAATTTCCAAACCTATTATGCTACTTCTACTGACACTAAATTATTTTCAGCATATTCACTAGCAAGACATAAACTATTATGGCGATTATGAGTAGCAAACTACAAAGTATTGAGTATGCTTCATTCCGTATGATTTAGATTTATCTTTTTGAATATTTAATCTTCTATAGATTTTATTCTAGAGTCCCAACTTGGTTAATATCTTTCTACTCGTGTGATTTATACTTTTTTTTTTCTGTGCTTAGTTTCCTTTACGTTGTTGTAGAAATAGTTGATGAATCTATACTCTAGCCATCTTTCATGTTTTTATAATTCATCACTATTTAAACAGTAAAAATATCTAGACAGTTTTGTTAAGTCCTATAAAAGTATATATGTTATTGCATTCTACTTCTACTAGTGACTTTTTCATGATATTTAAAAAAATAACGAAAATTAACCGAACCATTCCGATACCGAAGAGAAACCGAGATAATTGAAACAGTTTCGAAAAGTCTAATTTTGGTTATACATTATTAAATAACCAAAAAATTAGTATGGTATAAATTTCATAAAATAACCGGCCGAATCGAACCATTGACACCCCTACATGGGGAAAAGAAAAAAAAAATTAATCAGTGAGCTACCACTCACTCTTAATAATGTTATTTTTCAGTTTCATAATTTTTATTTACCAACAGGTCAAATATAAACAATTAAGATGACCATTTGGAAAATTCAGCCTCCAATTCCTCACCCCATTTTTCTTCTCTAAGAAAATCCTTAATAATCAAGCACCAACTTGTCGAGAGTGGTATTGGCCACCCATAATTTCGGACTAAAGATATTTTAAGCCAAATTAACTATTACGTCTTCTTTCTTTTTAATCAAAGAGATTATTATGATATTGGTTGATTTTTTTAAATAGAAACACCAGTATCAGTATAGCTTTTAAATTTAATGTTCTTTTAAAGCAGCCGACGTTTAAAATAGAAGAGCAAAAAGATGCAATAACCAAATCACTGTAAAGGAATACATCACTCAAAGCTTTGTAAATGAGAAATAGAATGCTTATTAGACTTCAGATATTAGCTCTCTCAAATTTTGTAACCAAGACAAAGAAATCGCGCCAACAGCCAGTTTAAAATAGCAGCAAAGTAAAAAGAGAAGACGAGGACGAAGAAGATAAAAGGAAGGAAATGGCAGAAGAAAGCAGAGAAATCAAGCTAGCATTCTCGCAGAAACCCCAAAAATCTTAGGTTGCTCCTAACTTGACGTAAACACAAAGTAACCCACCTATCATAGATTAACTTTGTTATAACTAACAAGACATAAGGGAAGCTAAATGATCCCATATCAACGGGCTAGAGCCAGTATCTTTCTTCAAGTTCTGCATTTGACAGTAACAACCTAACCAATTCCGTAGATTGCTCAGACTCCGGAGACATCATGCATTCTGTTATAGCCAAAACAGTGATAACCACCACACAAATACTGTATCACCTCCTGTATACAAAGGTGCAATGCTATTTCCTAACATATTACTTGGGTGCACTACATCATCTTAGTTGACTAGCAGGGCAAAATTATAAAACTGACCAGGAAAGAGTTTCAACAATTACTGAACTGAATCAGCTGCAGGGGCTGCATGATGGTTTACAACCAATGGAGGACGTAGAGCTTTGTGGTCAGCTAGTTTCTCCTTACGTGCCTTGTACATCTCTTCTGTCTCAACGACAACCAACCTTTTCACCTAAGATCAAAAGGAGAGATACAAAATATATTAATCTTCATATGGTAACTACAAGAGTTGTATGTACCAGACTAGACATTTGAAGGCAAGAGAACTCATTAAACTAGTCCATATTGATAGCAAAACACTATCAAAACCTGCTGAAGCATTCCCCTAACAGTAGGCGTGTTCCACCGCATTACAGTCCTGTTGCATTTCCGCAGACGCAATGCTTCTAGGGTACGCCTATGGAGCCTCCTAGTGCCTGGAATACCCCTTACAAGGGTTATGTATAGATTAGGGCTCCATGAGATTGGAGCACAAGCTTTAAAAGCATTGTAAGCACTCATCTCTTTTTGCTTTACCGCTTCTGCTTTCCTGTAGCAGAACAGACAAGAAAGCACTTCAATTAAAAAGACAGATTTACAGGGATGAGTTCCTAAAGGAAAAAAGTGACGAGCATCTTAGTAAGAAGCTAAGTTGCTCGGACACGGTTGGGGGTGTTCGATATAGGTGCGGATCTAGAGGTTGGATCCTTCATGATCTAAATTTTTTTAAAATTCGGGGGTATGGATCCGGGTATAGATATGGGTGCGGGGATTCGACTAATAATAATTCAAATATCTAAAAATAGATTATAAAAATATGTCTACATTATGAGACATTATGTGGAACAATGTATTCCAAGAAGGAGAAAATATTAATCAAGAGGAGAATCTGAGGAGATAAAAGAAAGAAAAACTGACATAGAAATTTCTATATACAAGGTATTCCATTTCTTCAATTCCACCCTAGCTTTTGTTTTGATTTCAAAAATTATTATATCTTATCCCAAATATCTCCGTCGATTTTGGTCAAAATACCCAAAATTGATTGACCAGATCCGGTACAAATCCAACACCGACGTCGTGTCGACACGGTTGCGGCACAGAAAGTGAAGAGTCGGACAACTTAGGTAGGAAGAGGCAGGTTAGCTGGAAATTGGGTATGTATTAGATTTGCAGGGATGAATTCTGAAGAAGGAAAAAAACAGGTAATATAATTACAAGCAACATATTAAAGAAAAAGTGAGGCACTCGGAGAAATAAAATTCTCCGCAGTGGGAAAAAACTGCATCACAATCAACACAAAAAAACTCATAATTTCGGAGATTAAAGTATGCGATTTGCATAGCAGCTAGGTGAAATTCTGCCCCTCTAAGAAGAACTTCCATATAGTAGCCCTAACAGGTCATTCCATGATCGAAAACAAATAGTACTTAAAAGTCTCATCTGCCTTACAACTTAAGCTTTTAGATGGGGTAATTCACACAATTCAACATGTCATTAGTGCAAGAAGATATGCTGGATCTGACTCTCGTCACTACCACAATTTATTTCACATACTTGACCCAAGAAAAAAGTCAAATCCATACACGAGGGAACATATTGCACACATATTCAAATAAATAAAGCATCCATTCTTTAATAGTTGACCTTTCAAATGAGACGATTCACACGATTCAACACACTCGTTGTGAAAAAGGAACAGAGAACTGGAACAAGTAACAACTTAAAACTACTCTATCCAGAACAATATATGACAAATAAAGAAGAAACTGGGGAAACAAGAGAACTCAATGTTTTTGTGTGTTTTGGATAGACATATGCTTATAGCAATAGACGAGAGGAAATCCGCATTCATGATTTTAAAAAGCTGCAGCTAGTTCTTAAACATGTTCGAGCCAATTCAAGACCTTATTTTAGACTAAACTAAAGTAGCTAACTAACTTGGATAAATCTGTGAAACAATAATGAAGCAAGTCCCAAGTAAAGTGAAGTAAAACTGGATTTTGTACAAGTACCCCTGAGATTCTTGAATAGAATATTTGACTTTGAAACCCACATTTTAAAATAATCACCAGAACGTATTTCAAGATTTTTAGGCAAGATAAAAGATGTGAAAACATAAAATAATGCACCAATGCTGAGCCTTTCGGAGCTATGAACCAATGATGGGGATAATCAAGCGTAAACCGCTGGGATTTGCCAACTTTTTTAATCTCGTATGAGAAAAATATTTTCTCATCCTATGCATTGGTTCATTATTCAAAAGTGCTGATGCATTACTTTAACTCTTCTATCATTTATTTGGCTTTATGATATGTGAAAGTGGTTTTAGAAATTCAACTCTGAAAAAGTTAAAAATCCCTCATTTCTTCATATCTAAATGCCTCGTGGCCGGCCACTAGCAAACTTAGTTTTGCTTCTCTTCATTTGAGATTTTACCTATTATCACTGCAATTAAGTTTTTTAAATATTATTTAGACAAAGTAATCAATAGTTTTTCATCTTACTCTTTGAACATGACTGAAAAATGTTCAAGAACAAGTCATTGTAAACGTCATTCACAGACACAGATTTCTCATTTTAGTTTCCACTCATCCACTGCTATAAATATCCATGTCAGCTTTTCATGAAACATCAATGATGCAGACAACTATAAAGATGTGCTTTCCTCTATTACCAAATAGAAAGAAGAAAGAAAACTCATATCACTCAATGAAGATGTAACAATAATCCTGAAGAAACAGTTTGCTCTATTTAGCGCAATGTCAAGCTCTGCTAAGTGCTCGACTGCTCGTTTCAACGCGCATCACATCAACCAATATTCCCACTCAATCTAGGAGTCCCATGTCTCCACCTCATTCACTTTTTACCTTTTCTGGTTCACTTAGACCCTAAATTGCAAAGCAAGCTCACAGCATAGTTACTACTGTCCCCACACAAAATAGTATCATCAATAACTTCCAAATATAACCAAAATCAAATTTTCAAGATGATAAACTCATTGATCTCCTTCTTAAGGACCTTAGGTTCTTCACTAAGTCTTGTCTTACTTTTACCTACTTCCACATATCTTGTATAGGTGAAATGAACACTATAATGGATAGGCTTTGTGAGGCCCGTGAAAGATTTTTACTATAAACCCGAAAGCTCATAGTGCCAAATTAGGAATATGTGTCCCCGCGGTTCGGACCCTTTTGGACTAAGCTATGCATTAAAAAGTCAAGAAATTATGTTTTCCAGAAAAAGTGCAATTTTGCGGTCGATAATGCGGTCACATATCAGGTACGCGGACCGCATTTCTGCCGCAGAGTGAGTCAGTGTGTTGGCCAAATTTGAAGCCAACTATGCGGTCAATTATGCGATCGCATAACCAAAATGCGGACCGCATAGTCGTCGCATAATTTCTTTGGGATTTTGTGAAGGGCAGTTCTGCGGTGCATTTTGCGACCGCAGAACGTAAATGCGGACCGCATTTCTGCCGCAAACCCAGTCAGTGTGTCCAGTTTTTGGGGAGCATTTTGCGGTCCATTCTGCGGACCGCATGTCGACTTTGCGATCGCAAATGCGACCGCAGATCTGACTCGGGGCTCCTATTTTCTAATTTTTAAAATCCGACCCCATCCCATTAAAAACACCCTAATAGACCATTTTCTGTTATTTTGCACGACATAGAGAGAGAGGGAGTTCTAGAGTGAGATGGAGTAATCCTCATCAAGCTCTCTCTAAATCCTTGCCCAAATCCTTGAAGATTGTTAATTGAGGCTACTAGGTATTCATCCTAATTGGTAAGGATTGTACCCTCATCAATAATTTCAAATATTTCTGTTAAAATAAGTAATTAGCAAGTGGGTACATGGGTATAAGGTTAGTAATCTTGCATGCACAAGGGATAATGGGGTATGGGGAGGGTGAGAGCTAAAGAGACAGCAATTAGGGGTATAATATTAAAGAAATTCCTTTCAAAAGGGGCCTAAGATCACAATGCACCTTTGATGTTTGATGATAAGCTCAAACGAGCTAGGATCCTAACCTCGTCACTAATTTTTGGTTTAATTGTAATTCTTATATAATAGATTGAAGTGCTAAGGGTCCCAGAAATTTTATAAGAATTAGGGGAAGGCTTTATTGAGGTATGTATGGCTAAAACTCCGCCTTTTAGGAATTGAGCTATAATGGTAGCTGTGTGAATACGGTAAGATCAAGATTGAATTGTTGTACTGATTGTTTATTTCACTTGAGTTGGTGCTGCAATCTCATATGCGTGGAAAGTATATCTCAATATAATTAACATGCTATTCTTGATAACTTAAAGAAAAGTGCAAGGACTATGGATCATGAATCGAAATGCCTAGACCTTAAATTGAAATCGAAATTTGCATATGTTGTGCCATTTATGTGAAATCTTATCTATGCTTGCAATTTAAATCACTCTTGTGTACACTCTTTTTCCTAAACTACAAACCTAGCATTGAAATTGGGGATGATGTGAGATGTGGCCTAGTGCTGAATGTATGATGTGACAGTTGTGGCCCAAAGTGCCTATGAAATGAGTTATGGGGAAACAAAGATCGAAATGAGATGATTGATGGGAAAGGGAAACGCCTCGGTAGGGCGGCCTAGCCAATCGGGCCGAGATCGGACGCCATGCTACGCACATGGTGGTAATGAATTTGTGATTGAAGTGAACGTCTCAAATGAGGCGACCTAGCCGATCGGGTCGAGATCGGACTCCGCTCAAGTTAGCGGTGGTAATGTGAACAATGATGAACAATATAAGATGCCCAAGAGATGAAAGCTATGGAAACACAATGTGAAAATTTATATGCTTCCTTTATTTGTAAATGTGTGGCCATTTAAAGTCCCCTTTGAGTTGTACTTATGATTGCTTTATTCTCGTATGGAAGTTATTTCTAACTAGATGGAATTTAGTTATACATACTAGTACTATTCCATGGTACTAACGTCCCTTTTGCCGGGGGCGCTACATTTGTTTAAATGAATGTGTGGGTTATGTAGGGGTGTTGAGGGGTCCATGAACTATGTTGTAATTCTAAACTCGTGTTATCTATAAATTGTAACTTTATGGGAATTTCGGAAACTAACTTTAACTACGGGTTAAGTTTGTAATATAGAATAAACTATCACTGTTGAATGTACTACCTTTCCTTGCCTAAATAAAAAAGGAAACATGGCTACCTTGTTCATGATGAGTTGGTAGGAAGTGTGTGATGAGGCTTGCTCGGTTGGGCTCACTCGATCGAGCACCGGTCGCGCCTCCCGAGGTTGGGGCGTGACAGGCTTGGACCTTTTTTCCACCCAAAATGAACCAAAAGAGAATGAGTTTGTTTTCTATTCTAATAAAAACAAATCATCTGTTTACTGAACAAATCTTGAAATCAGTTGAAAATCAAATTCAGCATAGAACCCATGAACGAATCACAGGTTTCCATTCTAATTACAACCAAAAAAAACATATTTAGAGACACCCAAAACCAAAAATTGAAGGTTTATTCACAAGATGCACAAATGGGCATATACCCGATCCACGAGCATCGATAGATGCAATTGAACTATGGAAATGAACCCAAAAGAAAGAAGACGAAAAAGAGACTTTGACGCTCTCATATACAGGCAAGAAATTGTTGAAGATCAAAATTGTGAACTTACTTGAGAGGAGGAATGTTCTCTGAAGTCTGCTCCTCTGAGGTTTGGTTTTTCCAGCAACAGGATGAGCTGAGGTTTTAGGAGTTGAGACTCTTGCCTTTGCCCTATGCCGTGCTTTTTTCCTTTTCTTTTTTAAATTTTTTTTATTTTTATTTTTTGTTTTTTTAACTTACATTTGCAGATTGGGCTGCAAATGTTGATAGGCAAAGGATTGCAGATATATGACTCTTTTTGTATGGTCTTTAACTTTTGACCCCTATTTGTCTCATGGGCAAAATTTTAAGGTTAAAAGATAAATTGCTTATGGGGCAAGCGAGCAACTTAAACTTGAAGTTCTGCCCGCATAAAAGGGAGTTTTATAGTTAAAATATCATGGTATAGCCAGTTTTCACACTGGTCAATGAAAAATAGCCAGCGTTTATCAAGTCAATGAAAAATAGCCACTATTTTGCTGCAAAAGGGACCGGTCCAGTATAATATACGGGAGTTCTGGTGCATTTGTGTACGAACTCCAGCATATTATGCTGGACCGGTATACTTTGCTAACTCCTGTAAAATTTGCGGGAGACTGGAGCACCAGTGCTCCAAACTCCAGTATATTATACTGGACAATTATACTTGCTGGAACTCCCGTAAAATTTGCGGGAGTTCCAGCATAATTATGCTTGAACTCCCGTAAAATTTGCGGGAGTTCCAGCATAGTTATCCTGGAACTCTCGTAAAATTTACGGGAGTTCAAGCATACTTATGCTGGAACTCTCGTAAAATCTGCGGGCATATTTTTTCGGATTTTGAACGGTGTTTTCGCTCAGATTTAAAGTGGCTAAATTTCGATAACTTTTGAAACTTGGCTATTTTTCAACGACCAGTGGTAAATCTGGCTATTTTTGAATTTCTCCCAGTTTTATAGCTTTACCCATAAAAATCAAACTAATTACCCTTGCCTACCCATTTATTTTTCTACCCATCAAACTAGTTACCATTCATACCCATTGTAGTGTTTGAGGGTAATTGCCTCTTTTTTTTCTCGTTTTGTTTATGCTTTGCTTTTTTTTTTCTTCTCCTTTTATGTTTATTTTTCAATCATATTATTTTTTATTTTTTTTTTCCACCAAAATCTGATTTCTTGCTCAGTTTTGGCTTTTCCCATTTTTCCTTTTTCTTGCTTCTTTTCTAATTTCATTTAAATCTTTTGTCAGTTTATTTCCTTTTTTTTTTGCATGATCTAATTTTATTCACTTTTTTTGCTCCTTTTCTTTATTATTTTTTTTCCCGTGCAATAATAAAAAGATAATTAATATAATAAATATTTGTTCACCTTTTTTTTAATACACTTGATATATATATATATATATATATATATATATATATATATATATATGTCTTTNTCTAATTTTATTCACTTTTTTTGCTCCTTTTCTTTATTATTTTTTTTCCCGTGCAATAATAAAAAGATAATTAATATAATAAATATTTGTTCACCTTTTTTTTAATATAATTGATATAATATATATATGTCTTGCTTTTTTCCATTTTCTTTTTCTGTAGGTCAGTTATAAGAATAACTTATACATTATACATGTTTTCTCTTCTTCTTTTTTCCTTTTTTCTTCTTTTTTTATTTTTGTAATTTCATTTATTATTATTTTGATTATTTTTTCTTTTAAATTTTTTTT